AAGATAACATTGCTGATAAAAGGCGACGTGTGTCTTAACTGATTATTGAAAGGAGTGATCATAAAACCCTAGAATCAACCAGGTTGGAAGAGACCTCAAAGATCATCGAGTCTAACCCTACCGTGGTCACTAGACCATGGCACTAAGTGCCACATCCAGTCTCAGCTTGAAAACCTCCAGGGATGGTGATCATCATCCCAGCAGAAGAGGCTGTGAGAGGTTCTCCCAGCACCCCGTGCAGTGCATCGCAGTGGGAACATCCCACAGCATCCTGTTGCTTTTTACGAGTGTCATTTCAAGTAGTGAGGCAACAGTTGCTGAGTTTAAAAGTTCATTCTAAGTCCTCACATCACCCCCGAAAGATTTAGGGAATGCTGTGCCCATTTTCCCCTCATTGCACCTTTTCAATAGCCTCACAGTTTCACAGCTGAATTCACACTTTCTTTTCTCTTTCACTTTCCCCCATGCTCTGTTCTCCCTTCAAGCTTTCCATTTTTTTCACGCTGGAAAACAATCAGCAATGTTATCTTCTTAAATGTCTTTTTCTTTCCTTCTGATTCACTGGGCTCTTTTAAAAGAAGTCACAAAGTAATCCTGTTCAGCCTCTCTGGACCAAGCAGTTTTGGGCTTTTGTCTCCTTTATGCTTGAAGCACAGTTAAACCAGAGGCTGTTCCCTCTTGGTGACAGCACTGCATGCTCCGGGGACACAGTGCTGCTGTGCTCGAGCTGGAGGGGCAGAGTGATGCTGCCCAGCTGCAGCTGCAAGGCAGCAGAAGGACAAAGCTTTGTGTTATTTGTTTCTCAAAGTGACAACTACTGTGTTTTGTTATCTGCCTTTTCGATGAGATGGACGAAACCATCTCCTCAGCTGGTTGGGACATTCAGCTCAAACTGCCCGGGGCACTCCACAGCCTGCCCTGACCAAAGGCTGAGCCAGCAGGGAGCTGCCCATGCTGTCACAGGGTGGCAGGGACCCTCACAGTCTGGCCTAGAATGTGGCTGTGAGCAAAGCTGTGATCCCAAGCTCTCCAGCCACATGCTCACCTGCTTTCTTGGCTCTGGAGCTGTGCCACATGGATCAGGTGCCAGGGAATGCAGGACAGGTTAGAACAGCACATGCCAGGCTGCCGTGGCCGTGGTAAGCAGCAGGTGTTTGTGAGCCTCATCCAGGTTGTGCAGGTGCTCCAGGCAGAGGCTCTGGGCAGCAGAGCACTGTGCCTGGTCCTGCAGGATGCTGGAGCTGCCTGCCAGGACACACAGCACTGCCTGGAGGCTGATAATCCCTCTGGCATGAGACTGAGATCTCTGTCTGTAGATCTTTCCTCTTAACATTCCATGACACTCCTCTGTGACCTGGTTTTGTTCACATTAAAGGGATTTTTTTCTCCTTGCATTTGACAGCATCCATCACTAGTTTGTAACCCCTGATCCAAGATACTGTACATGTAACAATCTTTTTTCCCCCTAGTTCTGGGTGTCCCCTGCCCCACTCCATTCCCCACTGCAACTCAGGCCAAGTTTTGATGACTAAATGACTTGCAAGGTTGGAGAGGCACTAGCAAGCATTGGAGAGCTGAGAGAAGTACATTGCATTGTAACAGGAATTTGTTGTTATCAGACACTGGCAAGTGCTTCCTGAATTTTCTGATAGTGCCACCCTGAGCTGTGAGATTTCAAGGAAGCCCAAAGTGCCAGTGGCACCTCCCTGATGCTCTCCAGCAGTTTGTTGCTGCAGTGCTGACTGTTCTGTTTGTGTTGCAGCTGGCAGGACTGGCTATCATTGCCTTTGGGCTCTGGCTGAGGTTTGGTGGGGCCATGGCAGACTTGACTTCAGACAAAAAGTCTCCAGAGTATTTCTTCATGGGTAAGTTACAAGACAGCAGTCTTCAGCCTTGGTTTCATCCTGGGACAGGTGACACATGTTATGCATTGAATTGTATGAAGGTCAACAATTTTTGGGCTGAACTACATGGAGTTGGATATTGTGGTGCTGTGTGCCATGTGTGTGATGGCTTTTGACCTTTCTGTGCTTGGCATCCACTTCCTTAGTCCTAACTAATCTCTTCTCTTGGATTTGATCCAGTCCTCATGAATCCTAAGTGAATTGTGCTAATACTCTCAGAATAGAAGCTGAGATGGGCCAGAGCCTTGTGGGGCTCAGCAATACATCCTTCCAGAGCTCTCTGTGCAGCTGCCAGCCAACAAAACAACAGTGTCACTTCAGAATGGTCCCAACCAGTGAAACTTTGCTCCCCAGTTCTCCCTGTGTCTGCACACAGAGGTCTCAGGGTGACTGAAGTACCAGAGCAAATCCTTCCACAGCTGAAAAGTCAAACTACCTGGTGTTCAGTCAATTCAGGAACAATTTGTCCAGCCTGGGCAGGGATCAACTAGTTCCTCAAGCCCACAGAACTGGTATTAGTCACATCTAAGTTTAGCATTTGAGATAATTTTTTTCTCCCTAGGATTTCCAGTTGGGTTTTCTGGAAATGCCACCTGTGTTCCATATCTATAGACACCCTGAAATAGCAGCTGCCTGGCCCTGCCAGCAACTGCATTCCCTGTCACTGCCAACTGTAACTGTAACACCAGGACAGTCAGGGTTTGGGTTTTTTTTCTTTTTTCTGTTTAGTGCATCACCCCTGGAGATGGACTCAACAAAATCCAACTGGTGCAAACACTTTTGCCATCCACAAGTGCCAAGTGTGGATGAAAACCCAGTCCTGCCTTGCCCATTAAGCCACTCTGAGAGGAATGACTGGGAGTTGACCTGAGATGTCCTGCAGCACTTACCCATCCTTGAAATACTGTGCTGTTACTTTACATACTGCAATTCTCTTGGTGGAGTCCTTGGGTCAGATCCAGCACAATCCTAACCCCAAGCTGCTCTAACACATGCAGCCAAGCTAGGGGTACAGAGCTGACTGTACAGCACTGGGGGAATAGATGGGGAGAATGTGATGTCCAGTGAAGTTTCCATGGGATTTTATAAGGCTGAATAAAACCATTCACACAAAAATGTTTGGGACCTGAGGGTTATTGTAAAGTATTCTGCAGCACCTCCACTGACACAGAGAGCCAGGAAGTATGACTTACTTTTTCTGTTACATCTGAGCTGCTATGACAGCAGCAAATTAGATCATAACTTCATTTCCAGACCCAGTTTATACCTGCTGAATTTCCTATGCTGTGTGTTGGAATGTTTCCCTACCTCATCCACTTAGGTTTGTCCCAGGAGAGTCAACAAGACAGAAGGATGTTCTGGCCTTCAAAATCAAGTGCTGTTGGTTTATTAGAAGCCAGAAAGTAATACATCCTGTGCTGTGAATAAGCACCACAGTCATTTCACAGCTTCTCAGGGCAGACTGTAACACACTGTGTAAACAAGATATCCTTCAGTGCATGTGTATTTACATCTCTGATAGATTTAATCTGCTTCAACCCTGAATAGGAATTACAAAAGTTCTTCAAGGCTGTTCATTTTGGGAAGTCCTGGGGAAGGTTCTTGTAAAAGTTTCATCACAGGCCATGACACTCCAATATTAGGCTGCCACATGTATTTTTAGAGTTGTCTGCTGAGATGTGTCACTGCAGGCAGAGGAAGTGCTATGGAACAGGGCAGAAAGATGTCAAGGATCCATTTAAACTTGTGCTTTGGGTTGAATTCTGAAGCAAAGTTTTTTCCCTTTTTAGCACTAGGCACTGAGCAGAGTATTCCTGTGAAAGAAACTGGAGAATTTTCTCCTGCCTTTCTCCCTCATTACAAGTGATGCTACATGTTGAGCATCTGCTGGGACAGCCACAGCCTGTGATAAGAACAGTGATAAGTTCAGTTACAGCAGACAAAGCTGCACTTGATGGTCCTGCTGCAGAACTTTGCCTCTCTCAGGGATTTCAGCTCCTTGACAGTTGTATATTGGCCCTTCCCAGAGTCTCTGAGCCCTTGTTTATTTGGCTTTGTGTGTTTGCTCTGTAACATTCATCCTGGGTGACAGCCAGAATTCTGCATAGGAATTCTTAATATGGAATGCTGTGCAGCACACAAGGAGCAGCTGCCCTGGGGGGCTGAAAGAGAAAGCAGCATGGCTTAAAATACAAGCATATAGCTACATATCTAAAAATCATTTCCTTATCCCTGTTCTACTGACCATTTTGTGACAACCCAACCCCCTGTGATCACATCAGGGCTCAGGACAACAGTGCAGGTGCATTCACAGTTTGCTTTGTAGGCTGAGGTACTGGGCAGAACTATCATCTTCTGCAAAACTGTTCATTTTCTGTCTTCTAAAGTGCAGCACATTCTGCTCTTTCTGTACCTGGCCTGAGCTGGCAGCTGAATGTAACCAGCTTCTCTCTTGTGTTCCCTTGTGATGGTTTTTTTCCTGGATCTGAAATGTTGGTTTAGTTTAAAATAATTGATAATTATATCCTTGCATTTTCCATTAGGCCAGAATGAGTCTCCTTAAATAGCCTTGTTCTTTACCAGCAGTCCAGCTGTCTTTTCTGCCCCTGGAATAGTTCAGGCCATGACTTGGCAACAAGGCCTGTTCATCTTTTCCAGCCACTGAGATGTTTTTGTTGGTTGGAGAACAGCTTACAGGCAGCAGTGCTGAGGGCAAGCACATATGTGTTCTTAGCTTTCTCTTGCTTGTGGTTTTATGTCTGGTGCTCCATAGTCCCCACTGCAGTTTGCAGTTAAAAACCTACAACAGCAAAGCTTGGAATTGGAACTCTTTGACCCACACAGTCTCCATCCACTTTAGCAGATGTGTCTCACTCTGGGGCAGACTCCTAAAATTGGATACCCTTTCCCTGCAGCTCCTCAGCTTTTGGAGTTCCTACTGCAGTGGGACAATATATTTTTGTGTTACTCCATCTCATAGTGCAGTTTTTGTGCCTGTGCTTCAAGTGGTGAGGCAAAACTGCAGCTTCACTGTTCTGTTGCAGTTCAGTTCTAGTAGAGTTCATGTTCCTCTTGTAGCTGGGCTTGAGAGGAAAAAAAAAGTAAAGAAAAAAGTTTGTTTCAGCAAAGGTCCAGTGCTGGAGGTTATCTGAGTTGTCTGTTACTCTGTACTGACCAGAAGGAGAAAAGGTCTGTAGAATAAAGGGAATTCCCTCAGATTGCTCATCCTTCTGTACCAAGACTGGCAAGTTTGGTACTGGGCAGGAACATCTGCAACAATCAGAAGGAAAGAGATAGGTTTGTGTGAACCCAAGGTGTCAGCATTGCTGTCCTTAATCAATTCTCTGTAGCATTGCTGCTCTGGATTTTAAAAATACTTAAAGCACAGCAATATGGACCAAGTGCTGCTGAGAGCAAGTGAAGCATCTGAGAAGTAAAAACTAATACAGGGACTTTTAAGGGTCAGTCCCAGACTCCTGTTCTCCCCTCTCTGCTTTTGGTGGATGAAAAGCAAAGTCTGCTCTGGTTCCTTGGGCAGCATGAAGGACAAACTCTCTGTGTCCCTAATAAATGAAGTGCAGAGGGTCCCATCACTGCCAGCAATGATAAAATTGAGGTGTAGGTACACAACAAGCCTCATCAGGAATGGTAAAAAACCCAATGAATGTGGATGAATCAGTCTGGGTGACTCTCTCAGCCCCAAAGTGTTACTTCTCCTGCTCACAATCCTTCTGCTCTCAGCCAGTCTGTACTCCAGGCATCATCAGGGCCAAACCAGTTGTGGACCAAAGTTTCAGGGTGGTTGTGGCTTTTTCTTGGGCTCTGTGAGAGCATGAGTGATCCTTTGGGCTTTGAAAGGTAGTTAGATGGAGCATGCCTTAGGATATGAAGTCATGTCTGGAGCTGAAGGATATTAGTGGTTTTTCTCCATAGCAGTGAATGCCCATCCAAACAGGACTTGGCCAGCAGTTAAACCCATGTAAACTGCAGTTCTGTTCTCCTGTGCCTTACTTTGTTCTAGTTCTACTCATGCATTTTGGAGTCAAACACTAAACCCTTAGTCAACAGTATTTTCTCTCCTAAATCCTTAGTCTCTCAAACTCAGCCCTTAAAATGAGAGTTGTTGGCAAAGCAACCTCTGTGTAGAGATGCAATACCACAAGAGGAGCAGCAAATGGTCCTGCCATCATATGTACTGGAGGTCTGGACTTCAGACTTTAGCAATGAGCTTGTCATTCTTGCTATCATCTTGTGTGTCACTCAGGAAGAGAACTGGCTGATAGTGGCCCTGAGTGGAAAACAGAAGCTGCTGCAATGGAAAGTGGCTTAAAAAAACCCATGACACCACCACTACCACCCCCAGGAAAAAAAAAACTTTACTCAAAATGAAAGTAATTCTGAAGTCCTCAGTCTCTCTGCTGGATCACAAAACTTTGCAGCAGTTCCTAATTCAGTGTTCCCCCAGGCAGAATAAAGATAAGGTCACCACGAAGTCACAATTGTGACCAAACAAGCTAATTTAGCCCTAATGGATCAATGTGTCCATCTGCCTTGAGTTGATTGGTTTATATTTGCAATATGCTGAGGTTCTGGAAGCTTTTCTTTATTTATTCACTTAAGCATGATAATGCACTTTATGCTTTTTGCCTATTAAATTAGCCTCCTGGGTGACATCTCCCACCCTCTTCTCTCTGGTGCAGCTCCCTAAAAACCAGTTCCACCCTGCAGCAATAGTTGAATGCATAGTTACACCATTTCCTTCTCTGCCACAGTTTCCTCTCCTCCCTGGAGGGGCTGGAAGCCTTCCTGGTGTAGCTGTGACTGCTGAGCCCTGACTGCACCAAGTGCTTGGGATCCTCAGGATGTGGCTGCTCCATCCCTGGGAGTGTTCCAGGCCAGGTTGGATGGAGCCTGGAGCAACCTGGGCTGGTGGAAGATGTCCCTGTCTATAGCAGGGGATG